TTATCGAGTACGATGGATGTGAGAGAGTGCTAATACTTTCCCCTCACATAACCAACTTCCGAACCCATAATTTGGTTGCGATGACCATGATCTTTCCCTAAAGATTTTATCAATATTTCCCTTTCCCTCTTTGGGATAAATAAAATTCGGTGGCGACTCTGTGTCATTTTTCGTGTAGCGACAGTCAAACATCCTAATAAAAACTTTTTTGCGACCCCTTTTATTTCCCTTTAAGTCCTTTATCCCTCAAAGAAAACAAATAATATAAGCTAACATTCTAATTGAAAATTTAACTAAAAAATTCTCGTTGAGTACATCGAACACGAGAAGTTCTAATACCTTTCCTTTAAGTAATCGACTTGCAAACCTTAATTTGATTGAGACGAACATTTTCGCATTCTTTTAAGAGTTTTTTTCAACCATTCTGCAAGCGCGCGAACGCTCATGATGTTATATTTTTCGAGATGCAATTGTTCTATAAATAAAAATATGTGACATTTTAATTTTACATGTTAATTAAATTCAACAATTATTATTGATAATTCTTGTTTTTCATAATAGATATTAATTTTCACTAGCAATGATCAAATCCAAACCTATCAAAAATAGAATTGCACACCATTATAAAAATATTAAAATTGTATATCATTAAATATTATTGAATGTATTTTAATGTTATTTTATAAAAATCATTTAATTCAGATCGAATTTTTAAAAGCAAATTAAACCGAATCAAACTCTCATATTAACACTTTCACTTCTATTAAATATGAGTTCTCTCTCCAGAGTTATTTTGAGATATTGTAGAACACAACCTATAATTTGCACGTGTCTCTCACTTGGATGTGCAAAACTTAGGTGACCACACTAATTGCATATGTCACATTTAGCATATTATATGCTAAATAAACAAGCTTTTCCACTAATCTCAAATGTCGACTCTTATAAGCTGTGACACTTTTCTCTTTAATGTTTGTCCTGTGAATTTTTTCAATGGAGATACTTGTTGGCAACAGAAGTTTTCATGTATTTTTGCAAAAGATCAATCACATATTTTTCTAAAACAAAAATATGCCTTGTTTAATCGAGGCTACCTCAATTCTTAACAAAAAAAAATTGAGTTGTCTTATCATTATTTTAATTATATTAATTATTTTTACATTCAATTCATGTATGTGTTACAATATTTTGGAAGCGGAAATATTCATGGATATTATATGAGATTAAAACATCAATACTTACTTGTTGAAGTCATGATTCGGAATTCCGAATGGATGAATGACCGAATCTTCCTCTGACTAAAATTGGAGTAGGATAGGTTTTAGGTTTCTAATCAAACATGACAACTTTAGGATAGACTTTTCCTTTCATCTTCATCGTTAGGGTTTGAATTCCTTCATCCTCAACTTTAGGTCTATTTTGCATGACAATATTTAGGATTCAGTCTCCCTTAGATTTTCTTTTCTTTTGCATCCAAATCTTTTCTTGCATCAAAAATTCTAAAACACATAATAAACACGATGTGTGTAGTACGTGGTGGAGAAGGAGTGAGAATGGAGCTTCCCTACACTCACTCTGAGTATTTTTAATACAAGACGCTCGACTTGGTCGTTCAAAATATTCACCACTATCCATAAACTTTAGTACAACACGCATCTCAAACCATTTTCAAAACCCTAACAAAAACACTTCAACAAATCCAAAACTTTTCATCTTTTGGGATTCTCTCTTAAACCATTTTCAAAAAGGGCATGTTATTTTCGTTCTACCGCAAATAGGTAACGCGTAAGACTCTAGACAACGAGCGACAATACACCTAACTGTTAGAACGTGAACGTTAGCATTGTCCATAAAAAACACCAACAAACCGTAGTCCGAACTATAGACGCTCTGATTTCTCATATCTGTTGAGAATACCTAAGTATAGGATTGCGAGATCCTAACTAGCAAACTTCCTATTTTTCACTGTAGTTTCACAAACTACGGACGCTCTGATTCTTCACTTCTTTCAAGTGAAGGTACGTAGGCACAAGGACCTCAATCATTGGCAAACACCCTAATAAAAAATCACCCTCTTTCCCTTTAGCAAGTAGACTTTTAGAATAGAACACCCATCCAAGCTTAGACAATTTAGATGGTTCTCATCGAGTATGATGGAAGTGAGAGAGTGTTAATACCTTCCCCTCACATAACCGACTTTCGAACCCATAATTTGGTTGTGATGACCATGATCTTTCCCTAAAGGTTTTATAGATATTTCTCTTTCCTTCTTTGGGATAAATAAAATTCGGTGGCGACTCTGTGTCATTTTTCGCGTAGCGACAGTCAAACATCCTAATAAAAACTTTTTTGCGACCTCTTTTATTTCCCTTTAAGTCCTTTATCACTCAAAGAAAACAAATAACATAAGCTAACATTCTAATTGAAAATTTAACTAAAAGATTCTCATTGAGTACATCGAACATGAGAAGTTCTAATACCTTTCCTTTAAATAATCGACTTGTGAACCTAATTTGATTGTGACGAACATTTTCTCATTCTTTTAAGAGTTCTATTCAACCATTCTGCAAGCACGCGAACGCTCATGATGTTATATTTTTCGAGATGCAATTGTTCTATAAATAAAAATATGTGACATTTTAATTTTATGTTTTAATTAAATTCAACAATTATTCTTGTTTTTCATAATAGATATTAATTTTCACTAGCAATGATCAAATCCAAACCTATCAAAAATAGAATTGCACACCATTATAAAAATATTAAAATTGTATATCATTAAATATTATTGAATGTGTTTTAATGTCATTTTATACAAATTATTTAATTTAGATTGAATTTTTAAAAGCAAATTAAACCAAATCAAACTCTCATATCAAGACTTTCACTTCTATTAAATATGAGTTCTCGAGAATTATTTTGAGATATTGTAGAACACAAGCTATGGTTTGCAGGTGTCTCTCACTTGCATTGTGCAAAACTTAGGTGACCACACTAATTGCATATGTCACATTTAGCATATTATATGCTAAATAAACAAGCTTTTCCACTAATCTCAAATGTCGACTCTTATAAGCTTTGACACTTTTCTCTTTAATGTTTGTCCTCTGAATTTTTTCAATGGAGATACTTGTTGGTTTGCAACAGAAGTTTTCATGTATGTTTGCAAAAGATCAATCACATATTTTTCTAAAAGAAAAATATGCCTTGTTTAATCGAGGCTACCTCAATTCTTAACAAAAAAATTGAGTTGTCTTATCATTATTTTAATTATATTAATTATTTTTACATTCAATTCATGTATGTGTTACAATATTTAACACAAAAAATAAAATTTATGAAAAATATTATGAATACAATTTAAATAAAATAAAATTTTTTGTATCATATTTCTTTTATATATATATATATATATATATATATATATATATATATATATATATATATATATATATATATATATATATATATATATATATATATATATATATATATATATATATATATATATATATATATATATATATATATATATATATATATATATATATATATATATATATATATATATATATATATAAAATAAATTAAACAACATTTAAAAGTTCATAATTTTTCATATACATTCTATAAATATAAATATGTGACATTTTAATTTGACGTGTTAATTAAATCTAACAATTATTATTGATAGTTTTTATTTTTCGCAATGGATATTAGTTTTTCTTAGTAATGATGAAATCTAAACTTATCCAAAATAAAATTGTACACCCTTTTAAAAAAAACTAAAATTAAATAAAATTGAATATTATTGAATGTGTTTTAAAGTTATTTTGTAAAAATTATTTAATCTAATTGAATTTTTAAAATCAAACTAAATCAAATTGAATTTTCGTATGTATCTTAATATTTTTGATTTTTTTTTCTATTAGTATGATGTATTGGATTAATATATTATTACTTATAGTTTCTAATACAATTTATTGGTTAATTTAATCTTTTTTTAACAAATTATACTATGCGTCAAACATAATATTATTTTCAATTTAGAAATTTTATAATTTTTAAAATGGAATATTTAAAAATCAATTAGAAATGAATGTCTTTATATTTTATATTAGGCAAAATAATATTTTTGGTTCCTTAATTATACCATCGGATTCAGATTGGTCTCTTAATTATTTTGTGTGTCAGTTTGCTCTCTAAGTCTTTAAAACGTGTTATGTTGGTCTTTTCTTCTAATTAGCGACTAATCTAGCAACCGATTTTTGATTTTTTCCGTCACTAATTTGAAGAAAAGAACTGACATAACACGTTTTAAAGAGTTAAAAGATTAATATGACACGAATAATTAAGTGATCAATTTGAACCTAAGAAAATTTATATACGAGGATAATTCTTTGTTTTGATGCAATATTTTATCCTTTAATTATACAATTTATTTAAACTATTTTGTATAGAACTTTAATTATATTTTTGACTTTTTTTAATTAAATCACATTGTAATAAAAATAATCTCAGAGTGAATATATCATAAGTAACTTATTTTTTACTTTTATTCATTGAAACTATTTATTCGTGGTATATGCAAATGAATTATAATCAAGTGCAATAATATAATAGATACTAAATACTAGCATAATTGGTTTTTTTCAAAACAAAAACTTTTATTTATCATCAAAAAAGAAATTAAAAACACTCCACTCATCTGAGTAGGTTGAATTACGTTAGTTTACTTCCATTGATTTCTCAATTATTAACTAAATTAATTAGATTGTGTTAAAATCATTGTTAGGCAAAGATTCATGCACTAATTGGCACAAACCTTGATTCTCATCGTTTAAGTTTATAGTGAATAAATAATTACATCTCAATTTAATGCATAAAATCTCTTTCTTATTTACAAAGATATTTATGTTAATTCAAATCTTAGGCTTACAAATATATATAAACCCTTTCCTTATGCCACTTTATTCCTCAATCATTCAAACTCTAATAACATGGTTGAGGGTTCATCTTCATCAAGTTTAGCTCAAAACAAGTCCAGCAATGAAGATAAGAATGAGAAAAAGTCTTCCAATATTTTTCCTTGCAAATTTTGTAAAAGAATATTTTTTACTCCACAATCTTTAGGAGGACACCAAAACGCACATAAAAACGAGCGTGCATTCGCAAAATTTCAGAAAGAGATACTTAAAGGTATTGAGTCTCGTCATTACCCGATTCCTTACTACACTAATTATACAATCCCTTTTCATCGGTTTAGATTTGGATCCTATAATAGAGCACTTGGAATTAATATGGAATCTATGATTCACAAACCAATACCATACTATTCATGGACTCCATCTCGTTTTAAGTCATGTTCTTCTTCTTCTACGTGGACACCAAAGCAAGAGGTGAGAGATTTCTTGTTTCCTGATGGGCTGAAGAATGAGGGTCTTAATCTAAATAATGGAAATAATGTCGCTCCAATTTTGAGGAATATGCTGAATTTAGAAAATAGTGTTGAAAAGTCTTCGATAAATATTGCTAAAGAGTCAAGCTCAACTGAAAAGGATTCAATAATAGTTGGGACGAGTTGTGATAATCATCATACTAATGTGAATGAAGTCTCCAATTCAGAATCTCCTGAGCTTGATTTGTCGCTTAAGCTTTAAAGTTTTTTTTCCCATTAATTTTGCTGTTTAATCTGTATGTTTATTATCTAATTTAATTTATTTTTATTAGAATGTAAAAATGCCTACTAAGTCTTTTAACTTATTTTAAAATAAATTTTTTTTTGTTACAAAAACATATATGTGGCATTTAATTGAGATGATGTATTATTTTATTTTATTATTTATTTATTTTTTAATTTTACATAGATTTTCTTTTATTTTTTATTTTTTTTTATTTTATTTCTAGATTTTGATTAATTCTTCATCTTCTTCCATAATTTTTCTTGTGTAAAATCAATATCTTTCATAAAACTTTTATTTTGAACTAAACAATTCATAATTTGCAAGAAATGAAAATATTTACATAATTTTAAATTTTATACTACATAACATTGAAGTTGTTGTGAGTTCTGCAAGAGAAATCTCATTTAAAAAAAGCCAAATAAAACCAAAGGTAGGGATCAAAGTAAAAATCTGAAAATCACCAAAGCAATGAAATAAATTACAAATTATATATGGTTGGACTTAGATTTTCACCATAAATTCAAATATGCAATCAAGTTTATCAAAGAAGTTATGGTTCACGAGAATCAGGGAAAAAAAATGGATGAAATACATAATGAAAAATCGTTCGATCATACCAAAATACACAATCAAACGCAAAAATAATTACATATTCGTGATTAGTGTGAAAAATCAGCTCAAATGATATATGAGTTTGTAATTTATTGTTGAGATTCAGAGTTTTGCCATTTTAATTTTTATTTATGAGCTCATGAGTGTTCTTGAAATGTATTGAGTTTCAGAGTTTTAAAATCTAGAAATACAAGAAACAACAAGACAAAAGTCAAATCAGCAACCTACAATGCCAACTCATCTCAATTAAATGCCACATGTGCTCAGTTTGTGTCACATATGCGTTTTTGTAACGGAAAATTTTAAAAAGAGCAAGGATGCAAACGTTGGTTAAAATAAAGGAGCAAAGCGTTACAAAAATATTTAAAGAACAAACTTGTTATTTTAAAATAACTTAAAAGACTTGACAATATTTTTGCCTTGTTATAACTAGCGTCCATCACTTGTGTGCCCGTCTGTCCATTTTTTTAATTCACACACGTAAAAATTAAATGATATTTTTTAATATTAATTTTAAATAGAAGTTATGTAGAAAGTTAATAGTAAAAAGTTAGATAAGAAGTTATGTGAAAAATGATAGTAGTGATTTTGAATTTTTTTTTAAAGTATCCATGTATTTGAAACAAAATTACCATATAAATGCGCGATTCAAAAAAATTACGAAACCAACTATCATTCAGTAGGCAGTCGCCATACTGATTGACGATATTGGTAAAAGTTTAAAAAAAATGGTTTCAAGCAATTCGCCAGCCCATATGACAACGTAGGCATGTGTTTAGGGCTTTTACCGTATTCAATATCAATTTATTTTTATATTTTTAATTTTGATTATTTTTTTAATTTCAATTAATATTTTAATGTATTTAATATCAATAATTTTTTATATTTTTAATTATTATTTTGTTTTTAAACATAATTATTATTAATAAACTTAAAATAATTAGATTTAATGTTAAAATTAATTTTTTAATTAATAAACTTAAAATAATTAGGTTTAAATAAAAATAATCTCAAATTAATTTATTAAATTTAGGTTTAATTAAAAATAAACTTAAATTGATTTAATAAATTTAGGTTTAAATACAAAATAAAAATTGAGTGTTGATTTAATTTTAAGGTAGATAAATTGATTTAAATAATAACTTTTAAAACATAAAAATTGACTAACCATTGAAGTTTAAAGTGTATAAATTTTGTAAGGGTATTTAAGTCATATCATATGAGGTACGTACTATTTTTTTAACTATAAATACGACTGCAAACATATGTATGTTTTCACAATATTGTATCCCAAAAGACTGAAGCCTTAGTGCATTTTGAGTTGAGTGGAGCCTAAAATGTCTGCATTTCTAAATCAACGTTCTTCGTCGTCGTCGTCATCAACATCGGAGGAATCCTTTCCAACATTCAATCTAATGAAAAGAAATGCCCTAGTTGTGTTTTCAGCAACAAAGCCTCCGATGAAGGTGCTCCTTTGGAATACGCAGACGTTGGAACACTTGCACAGGGAACTGAACCACTGGCTAGAAGGAGATATTGCTCAAGGAGAAAAGATTAGGAAAATTGAGAGGTTGGTTGAGGAGACCGGGAGAAACAGAGTTACTCGTGAATGGAGAAAAGTGGAAAACGATGTCGGTGTCCTTGTGATGATGTTGACACCAAAGAAGATAAAGTTGATGGTCGTGATATCGTAGACGCCTTGGTGCAGTGTTCTGTTTTATGTCGTTACGTTGTTGTTATGTTTGTTTAATTTATGTTGCCTTGGTGCAGTGTTTTGTCTTTATATTGTTGTTATGTCAGTTAACTATGCTTTTAAATGAATGAAATTTGTTATTAATCGAATGAAATTTGCTATTAATCGAATGAAATTTTCTATTGATTTAATGAGAGAAGATTACATATGAAACTATGCTCTGCTGCTTGATCCTACGTTAGGACATTTTGTACGATTGTGTCCTGGTTGCCGACACGAACTACACAATTTCACCAGCTTGTTTGCGGTATCCATCTCCGTTCGAATGCGCGTTCTGTTAGGCCGACCCTTTTTCTTTCTGCGCATCAAGTCATTATGCCAAACAATTTCGCCTTCGTATTAAGGCCAATAATCCTCATTTGCCACCACCTTAAAGCTGCATGTGTAGACATTGCATAGACTTATCACTTGGTGAACTGCAGAAAAAAGGTTGGTTGGGTCCTGGCGCGCCTTCGAACACGCTGCTATAACATGAGAACAAGGCATACGGAATGCCTGAAACTTCCCACAATTACACCAGGTCTTATCCAGTTCAACACGGTAACATCCCCTAGGCCGTCCTTCGTTGTGATCAATCGACTCGGCAACACTGAACCAACCAGCTGTACGGTCAAAGATGGTGACGATGTGTGTGTTGGCTTTGGCAGCTTCGCCTTTCATGAATTTCATTGAAGTATTGTTGTACAGCTGACCCAATTGTAATACCGAACCCCATTTCGTACGTCTGCTATCAAAGAGTGATCCTAGCCTAAAATAGGTTGCCTTGACCAAGACAGTTATCAGGAGGTTTCAGATTCCCATTGCACACCATTGTCGTATGCCCGCGTCCATTTCTCCCTATCAATGTTATCAATCCATCTTAATGCATCTGCGTTCGTTAGTATGATCTCGTGACAATAGTATTTGAATGTGGGTTCTGTTAGTGCATATCTCGCGTTCACAACCTTCTTCCGCAGCGTCTTGTCTTTGATTTTCCGCATGAAATTTTGGGCAATATGCCTTATGCAATAGACGTGGGTCGAGGGAAGATCCTGCCAACTGTTATCAAGGTTGTTGTATGCACTCTCGATTGATGGATGTCGATTAGAGATCAAACATAAGTTAGGTTGGGGAGACACGTAAAAGCGGAGATTTTTTAAGAAAAAACTCCAACCCCCAGCAGTCTCCCCTTCTACTATAGCGAAGGCTATTAAAAAAATGTTGTTGTTCCCGTTTTGTGCCACGTCCATGAGAAGTGTGCCCTTATATTTTCTGTATAACCATGTTCCGTCAATTTGAATGATAGGTTTACAATATGCAAACCCTTTGGTGCATGGTTCGAACGCCCAAAAGAGTCTGTGAAAAATTCCATTTCCACCAACGCAAGTCCCGTCTGGTGTACACACAGGTATTGTCTCCAATATCACAACAGTCCCTGGAGAGTAGTGTTTAAGAGCCTCCAGGAATTTTGGAAGTTCCTTGTACGACTCCTCCCAATTTCCAAACACCCTTTTAACTGCTTTAGTCCTAGCAATCCAGGCTTTTCGGTATGAAGGAGTGTAATTGTACCTTTGAACCATATGTGCAATTATGGTACTCACCTTCAAAGAGGGGTTGTCGCTAACGACTGACAGAATCTCATTGCAAATCAATCGAGAGCTGAGTTTGCGATGGTCTTGCATCGAGTTAAAGATTATACAACTGTGGGACGGACCCATTGACCCTATCTTCCAGGAATCGCTTATCTTCTTGAAATACGCTGTTAATCGGAACGGGAACTCCTTGTTACGACAATAGATTGTATACCGCGTCGGATTTGTCCGATCAACTCTATAATCGGCTGACAACTCCATGTGAAACTGTTTGATTGCTTGAACACAATCTTCTTTTGTACGAAACTCGTCACCCTCTTTTAGTTGCCCTTCTGTTGTGTAGTTGGGGTTGTAGAAAACATTTGTCGAGGGTTCATCGTCACCCAAGTCGAGAGTTGTCATGTGTTGAGGTGGACAATAAACATTGTTGGGTGGAACCCCGTCCTCTTGGTTGTTTACCATATCATCAACAGTGACTTCAGTTGCTTCTTCTTCCTCGTCAACAACATTGACTTCAACGTGTTCATCCTCAGAATCCCAAAAAAACTTGAGAAGAATCAAGTTGCTGAGACAATTGTTGTTGTTGTAACGTAACATATAACACGATATCTGAGAAACCAGAATACTCGTGACTCCGGAACATGTTACACACATCTTTATCATCTCGCACCTTTAACGGGAAAAATTTACATTCAACATGGCCACCAAAAAACACTGGGTTTTTGTATATTATTTGCCCAACTGGACCACATTGCAGTTTTTTTTTCTATTCTTGACGTCAGGTGTAAAAAATTAGACCTTCTGTCAATTAAAAATCTTGTAACTTCAGTGTTTATGAAATTGAAACCAGATAGTTCACATTCGAAAACCTCACAGTTAAGATGTGCCGAAATCATATATTGTGGTGTTTGAGACATAGCGAAAATTGTGTTTGAGTGTTTGAGTGTTTGAGTGTTTGAGTGTTTGAGGGTCTGAGTGTTTGAGTGTTAGAGTTTAAAGAGTTTAAAGACTTTATTAAATAGTCTGAGTGTTTGAGTGTT